GGTTGCATTGGGCTTTGTATGCCTTGACGAGAGACTGTTTGTTGACCGTCGATTGTCATTGGCCGAGCCCTTAGCGTTCGGCGACAAAGGCGACGACGACAGCTCCGTGGACGACGAGTTTCCCCAGCCAAAAATGGAGGCCAGCGGAGAGGTTGCGCCAGGTGATCGCGGCAGCGGTTTGTTGAGCTTCGGCGACCCGTCTATGGCGGCGGACTGCGGCGAGTCGTCAATGTACGTCTGCGGCCCCTCCCCTATATGGATAGAGGGATCGACCTTTTCGAGCCGGAGATGCGGAGGCGCGTGCTTGGTCGGAGCCAACATGGGCGGAGAGGGAGGGGGATCCGAGCGGTCGTCGTAGTTGGACTCGGCGTCGGAGGCGCTGTCCGTGTCTTGGTCGCGCTCCTTGACAGAAGCAGCGTCGGGCGTGCCGTCAGGTGTCAGATCCGGCAGCAAGTCGTCGTACACTGACAGTCCAGCAGAGGACTCCGTGTCAGCCGTTTCAGCGGGAGGCCCACCGTGGGTGGAAATGTTTCCCGAAGCAGCAGCTGTTTCGTCGTCGCTTGGCGCCAGCTCTGCTGTGGTTTGACGTTGTCTAGAGGGGGCCCTTGAGTTAGACTTCTGTACTCTGCGCTTTGTACGAGGTACTCTGTGATTTGGTTGGACAATTGGCGCGCGAGGGAATATGTTTCCAAACAACAAGGGGGCGTTGATGTAGTAGAAACAAAAGAGATGGGGGTGGACGGGGTGATACGGGAAAGCGTGTGTGTGCGCGTGTAAGAGGGAGGGAGCAGACAAAGAAACAAGACAAAGAAGGGCAACTCACTGGTGAGGAGGTCGCACAGAGGCTCGCACAGAGGCAGGGTACTCGTAGAAGGTGGGACTGTCGACGGATGGCGGCCGCGCGAATCTGTGATCGGGCTTGGGCAGGTCAATGGTGGTGGTGTGAAGCAGAGGAGAGCCCTGGAGGTACTGCGAGACAAGCGAGGAGGAGGCCGCGGTGCTGGACACGGGCTTGCGCTTGATGGGACCGGAGAAGCGAAAGGGAAGAGAGGAGGCAACGACGGGAGAGATGAGGGTGGGAGCAGAGGGATCTACGTAGTCGAGCGTCTGGGAGCGGCTGTGAGTGGCCGCGATGGTAGTGCGGATGCCGGCCGGGAGAGGGACAGGAACACGGGTAGCGATGGTGGTGGTGGGAGGAGGAGGAGTGGCGGGAGTACCAGCGGTAGTCGCGGTAGAGGGAGTAGTAGCAGCAGTAGTAGCAGCGGTTCCGGGGTCGGTGTCGCTCTCGCTCTGGAGATGAGGGTGGTGGTCGTCCTGGTGATGATACTCCTGGCGATGGTCGTGCTCCTGGGCGTAGGCCTGGCTGTAGTCCCGGTGGTACTGCTGGTAGTACTCGTCGTCGGCGGCGTCGAACCCGGACTCGTCCTGCTCGTCTTCCCGCTGCTGTTCCTGGTGCCGATGGTACTCGTGCCCGTGGTCGTGCTCGTCGCTGCCGGTTCCAGATCCAGGTCGAGTTCGAGCGGCGCTATTCCGCAACCGCGATGCAGGTGGAGGTGCTTGGGATGAAGCAGGTTGCGTATCAGAGTCTGGCAGGATCGACGCCATGGCTCTGGGCCCGCTGGCAGGTTGCGATGCGACGTCCATGAGAGTACTCGTACTCGTAGTACCTGCAGAGCGAGGTACAGGCAGGCAGGCAGGCAGCAAAATGATTTGATTGAATTGAGCGAGTCGTGGGGGTACGAGGAGAGAACTCGTACACGAAGCGCTAAAGCAAGCAGGCGGACAAGCAAGATACGAAGAATGGCAGGCAAGCAAGCGAGGCGAGGCGCGCGCCGAACGCTTCACGACAGTCTTAACGCCGGCTGGGTTTGGCACTGGAAATTGCCCATGAACCGGCCTCGACTGAAGGGGTGACGAGCGAGAAGAGGCAAACGGCCGGAGGAGCCTTCCAAGAAAAGAGCAAGAGCTGGGACTAACGCGGAGAGGGGGATTGGGCGTTAGGCCGGGACTGTATTAGTCGACCGACGACGAGCAAGGAGTCGAAGGTGACGATGCTGGGAAAAAGGGAGAAGCGAGGCTGGCCCGGTCGTGTTGACGGACGAGGGACAATGGAGATTTGCCAGCGGCGGTGGGGCGGGGTAGAGAGGAAGGGTGGAGGTTGCTTTCAATTCGACTCGCTGTAGTTGTACCTGTTTTAGTACATAACCAGGCCTCACTCTCAAGGGGACCCCTGATTGTAGTACTACTACTAGGTACTACTACCAGCAATGGCGCGTTGGTGCCGCTTGAATTGTTATCTGGGATCAGTTCTGCTCTCATTCCAGCTGCTGGGAGAGCGTCTGCGACTATTTAACTGCTAGCAGGATCGATTCCGCGGCTGCTGTGCTGCTGATTGGCGAGCAATCACTTCGCAGCCGTCCGGTCTCTGCATGTAAGATCGAGGCTGGGCCAGCTGATTGGACACGCATGCGAGCTGTGCGCCATCGCCACATGCACCACCTCGAGAAAACTGACGGGCATGGATGTTTATTATCAATTACCAGAAGCGCGCAGTCAAGCCTCGACCAGAAATAAGGCCCCCTCCCTCCCATTGGTCCAGAGCGCATCGCAACCCTGGATGCTGGAGACTCCGCTGGAGAGAAACGAAAAAAAAAAGGCAAATAGGGAGGTCGAGCTGCGCACGTTGAGTTGACGAGCTCAACATGAACTCCTTTTGGCCACCTCTCTGGCCCAGCCGCCCCGGTACCTGCGCTAGCGCTGTGCTCCTTGGCCAGGGGAAACGGCCGCTAATGCTAATTAATGGCTGGGCCCTGACGCGAATCATTCAGGCACCCGACAGGTTGTCACTGTAGTTGTACTGTTCTTGAGCCTTGATGGCCTCGCCAGCCTGAATTAATCCTAGTGCCCCTTACCTTATGTATCGTATGCGTGATATTAGTAGAAATAAAGGAGAGGGCTTTGCAAACGGTTGACAGCCATCCATTCACCATTCCAGACTCTTCCTTCAATTGTCTGCCAGTACCTGCACTCCCACCTCGCCCAAACTGGCACAAACGTGCATGTACCTTCATGTTGGTGTTTTGCTTGCTGCTGTTTTGGCGCCAGTCTTGCATGAGCCACTCGCAGCCACTGGAATGCCATCCACCCATGCGCCAATCTGGAGATGGCGCCAGTCCCTGATAGCATTGTAAGGTACCTAACCTCTATTTGGCCTTGACCTCACTTCACCTCCTTTATTAGTAGTAACGAGGTAAGGTAGCCAGCCATCCATGTTCTTCATCAAAGAGCCTTATCTCGCCTGCCATCCCTCCTCCCCCGGCGTTCATGCTCTACAGAGACAACAAGAACATGCACCAATCAATGGGCGCTGCGGGGGTTGTCTGTTTGTACATTCTCTGTCCTCCATCAGCATCGGTGTCCCACGTAGGTACTACTATGGACAACTATTGGCGCGCGGCAAGCCCGGTCGATTGGCTGCCCGTCCACGATGCGCTGCATCTGCCCCAAGGCTGGCGAAATCGAGTGGCTGAGACCAACTTTTTTTGTCAATTGGATCAATTGGTCCGTCAGGGTTTCACCGGTACCTGCAGTACTCGTATTTGCGTCAAGTCTGCACGAAGAGGTTCATGTTCCCTGATGCCCCCGAGTTCAAGTTGGCGGCAGCCTCACTGAGCACACAATGGCCTCTGCGCGATCTCATCTAATTCCAAGAAATTGACCAATTAAAAAGTTCCGTAATCACAGAACGGAGCACTAGTATTTGCATCATTCGCTGTCCTCAATCGCTGGTCATGATAGTATGTAGAAGTCGGCGAGACTGAGTTTATTTCAGAAGCCGTCTAGTACTAATACTACCTACCTACATACCACCAGTAGCAGCATCCATTGGCAGATAAAGCCCCCAAGAATGAAATGACTCCCCCATCAATCCAATCCAATCCCAACCTCGACGAATCATGCATCAAAACACCATCTCCAACAATCACCACCCCAATTTAAAACCCACCCCCGCAAGATTAAAATTATCGCTACTACCGTACTACTACTCCTCCTCCTCCTGTGAGCTACTCCTACTCGAATGTATGTACATCAAGCTCCCCGGATCTCCATCTCATCTCATCCCCAGGCAATTCAAAAAAGGCATCTATCCCGTTGACCATTGCATTCTCATCTCAACGAACCAAACTCAGAATGCTGCGCCCGCAACCCCCTTGTCTTTTCTATCTGGACTTGTCATCTCGTCTTGTCCATCCTGGTGATCAATCGTACGAACTACCTAAGTACTACTATTACCTCCAACATAGTACTTAGTAGTACCACATTCATTGCCAGCATATACTAGACTAGATACCTTAGATACCGTAGCTCTGGAAACCAGCCACATGGACTCACATGGTCCAAGAAGGCTAGACGGGGTGACACGAGTCTGTATGTATGTAAGGTACAGTAAGGTAAGGTGCCTTACTCAGACGCATCACCAGTCGAGTTACACCGTCACACAGATCGCCCTCGAAAATCGGGGTCTCGTGAAATGAGGTTCTTGCGTCACCCGGCAGTTGCGGGACCTTTTTTTTCTCTTGTGCGCGAGTCGTACAGAGAGGCCAGTCCACTCCTATTGGGCATGTCTATTCGGCAGGCAGTTATCAGCAGCGAGGATCAAGTACTCGTACATACATACAACTACCTCACCGTCTTCACAAATGCATACGTACGGGATGCACTAAACAGAGACAATACGTCGAAAAGCGCTTGACTGACCATGATGATAATTCTAAAAGCGCTGTCTGAAACAAGGTAGCCAAGTAGTTACGGTTATCCAATCCGTGAACGATAGTCCCCCTCTTGCAAAACTCCCAATATGGACGCACAAGCAAAATTCCCCAATCGAAACTCCCAATACCCAATTAACAGGACTCTGCTCATCCAATAACCCAGCACACCTGTAAACCAATCTCGTCAAGCTACCCAAGCGCCAACTTCGCCGGGCTCAAGCCTCTTCCTCACAAGAGCAGCTTCCCCCTTGGCAGCAATGCCCATAGACCACCGCAGGCGCATTTGCGCTGTTGCCCCAGGACAAAGGTAAAGCCGGCACGGGTCCCAAACACGTCTTCCATTACCGACGCGCAACGCGTGCATCTCCTCCACTGCTGGTTCCCGAGCTTCATCTCCGTCTTTTTGAACAAGTCGACGTAGACGTGCCTCGCCTCCCTGGCCCTCAAGCTTGACTTGTCGTCCTGGACGCCGAGGAGGTCGTAGTTTGCAAAGTAGAGCTTCGCAGGATCAGTGTGGCTCCGGAATGCAGGCAGGTCTTTGCTGAAGAACTTCTTGATGACCGGTAAGAAAGGAGACGGCGGATTTGCCGCCAACAGGATGTTGAGCTCCAGCTGGCTCTGCGCCGACTTGACAGCCAGGTCGATTTGCTTCCCTTGGGTGGCATTGTTCTGATGCTTCACGAGATTTGGGAGGACCGCCTGATAGATCTGCCGGATGTCCGCGCCGAGCGTGTTCAGCAACTTCTCAAAGTCGCCCACTTTGACCAGGCTGGCTGCAGTGATTTGCTGCATCTTCTGATATGCTTGCTGGAGCGGAAGGTTTTGTATCTTCGGATGGCCCGCTTGGTCAATGGTTGCCGATTGCGATCGGTAAAACTCTATGGCTCGTTCGCTCATCGACTGCAGATGGGCAATCCTCCGGCACACACAGAGCAAAAAGCTTCTGCTGGAGGAGGAGAGCAGGAGATGGAGGGATACGTCGTTGAGCGTGTGCAGGTATGGTGTCACCTCCGCAAACCGCTTAGGTTCCAACCGCGCCATAAACTCGCTGTCGTTCATGAGTGTGAATAGGCTGTCGGTGAGCCACGCCAGCAGATCCAGAGACCACTTGGCACAGCCTGCTACTGCTTCTACAACCTCTATTTCGCGGTCACTTAGTTTCAACAGAACCATCTAACCCAAGGACCAAAGATGACGGCAGACTTACCAGGTTCATCCATGGGGCTCATCTTCTCTCTCACCGTCACTGGCGTGTTAATCGCGAGGGTGATGAGGACAACCACGTTGCGCACATGGAGGTCAATCATCGAGAACTTGCCCTGGAACGACCTCGGATTCATCTCTCCCTTGAATCCTAGGCTATTCATGATGCTCAGGCAGCATTGAAGCGGAAGATTTCTCATCAGAGAGTCATGGTGGGTTTCCTCGGAGTAGTCGACCTGAATCTTGAGCACCTTGGTTATCTCAATGATCCAGTCGTGGATAAACCGCTTCTTGGACGTGTACGGCGCGACAATGGCCAGCAGGTCATCGTAGTTTACCTGGTGCCACAAGGCAGGTGAGGCCGTCACCGTCAGGCCCGCCATTGTGGCGCCGTAATGGACGTCTTGGTAAGAGTCGCCAATGTCGCCATGCGGATAATGCAGCTTGCGCCATTTGACCACCCCATCGTCGGACACCTGGACCATGGAGCAGTGGGTCGGTGAAAAGGCGACCTGGTAGCATGGCCCTTCCTCGCCAAACACCCAGCCGGCGTGGTGTAAGTTCATGACCCTGTTGGGGTCTTCTGTCGTGTAGACTTCTTCAAATGTAAACCGATCTCGGTATTCCACGGTGCCATCAGACATGGTTAGTACCAAGACTTTTCCGAACTGGACAGACTGGAAGCCGACCAGCACTTTGTTGATCACAATTGGGTCCAGCTGTCGCAGCCGCGTATGTTTCGGCTGCTCAGGGATGTCGCTGTTCCTCCGGATTCCCAGCTGCTCAAAAGCCGGGTGAACGTTGGGCCGTGGCTCAACTACTGCTTCCCAGCGGTCAATAACGGTCTGGGCTGTCTGAAATGATGCAGCAGTGGGCGCGCGCGTCCTGATGGCGACGATCATGGGTGGGACGGTGCTCTTTCCCGTATTGTCCATGATGGAAGGAAGAACGTGTAAGTGAGACAGCTCGGCCATCGAAGCGTCGTTATTGGCATGCCCGGCCCCCGTCTGCAACCATGTCGTGGCGGCGAGATGCTTTTCGACAAGCGAAGGACTCAGTCGAGCGTTCTGGGGTAGAGGGTTCTTGTCTGGCTGCGAACCAGGACCGCCCCATTGAATCTCAATCTTGAGCAGCCTTAGCTGCTTCGACGAGGTTGCAACGGCAACGAGCAGATGTCCTATCAGGATGTTAGGCATGATTCTGCAATCTGGGACATGATACGTATGGCTTACTTCTGTCAGAGGCAATGGACGCATGCGTGACCAGCTCATCCAACGAGTTGACACTCTCAAGCTCCATCGTGGTCTCTTCCATTCGATTGTTGTTTTGAGACCAAAACATCTTCAGCATACCACTGATTGTGACGCAGAACAGGGCACTCTTGGATGAATGGGGGTGACTCGGCCCGCCAGCGTGGATAAAGGAGCTTTCGTAGTGGTAGTAGTTGCCATTTTTTATCGCTGGCCCATACAGCACATTATACGGTTTCTTTCTCACGAGAGTCAGCGCCTTGGGTCATCTCGACGCCGGCAATTGATATGTTCTCACCTGCTGATTAGGCGGTGCTACCGCCAACCAGTGCGCGCCAACCACGGCATTCGCATCGTCGATGCTATCGGTGTCATACTTCCGAGTAATGAACGGGTGGTTAAGAGATATCGAGAAGCTAACAATAACCACTCTCCCGACGGCGTCGATAATAGCAAGCTCGGGGATATTGGCCGAACCCCACTCCAAGTGAACGAGGGGAATGCCCTGAGATCCCCTGATCAATTCACATGTCGTCGGCTGGCTGAGGTCCCAGGAGCCGTTGACCGGATTGCACCGCAAGAAGCGGAGCTGCAGGTACTGGCCATCGGGCGTGATAGTTGCAATCGTCCCGGACTTGGACCAGGCAACAGTCCTGCAGCGCTTCCGTCAGCCATTGTCCAGCTTGCGCAAGAGGGGGGATGTACGAGTACGCACTGGCAGCAGCCACGACTTCTCACGTCATCAAGCTTGAGTGCAAGCGACCTATCATGGCCTCTGTCCGGGAGCGACAAGCCGACGCCGTCGCCAAATAGATCGTCAACATCGTTTAGATCCACGGGCACGGTGTTGTCCAGCATGAGCGGCATCTTGTCCTCCGTCATTGAAGCGCTGTGTCCAAGTCCAGGCGGTTCCGGGCCACGGCCATGCGACAGGGGGCGGTCAAAGACTCGAAGCCCGACGGATTTCACCAAAGCGCGTCAAAGGGGCTCAAGAGGGCTTCACGGACGCGGGGGGCTATCTCGTAATTAATATGTGCGACATGAAAGGCTGGTTGAACAGGCACCGGCCGGGCGTGAGAATAAGGCTGTCAAGATGAAAGATGCATTCGGTACATGTAATGAGTTGTTCAAAGAAGAGTCAAGTTCTCATTCATTGGCGGTTGCTGAGGCTCGGAAGAATGTCGGTCTAATCGATAACGAGCAGCCCGAAGAGATCCGGGTACTCGCGCCGTAGTGGCTACCCTACAATCCTTCGGTTGTCACTGAGTTTTGGCTGTTTTTGGACTGTGGCTGGGGGATATTGAGATCATTTCAGTTGCGAAGCTTCGTCTGCTGTGACATAATCTGACTGATGGGCAGAATCCCAAAGAGGTCAACGCTGTATCTGGCTAAAATGATATCGAAAGACGGGTGAGACGTTGATCCTGTTCCACAAGACGGCAGCGGTCTGACACTGCAAGTATCACGCTGACTTAAAGCTGCATGTCCCTTTGGACTCAGCTGAGAACTCGCAACTTACCTCGGGATTTGGCCGTTGAGAATCGAGTTGTCAGCATGAACTCTAACACACCTCAGGACTAAGCGGATTTAACTTCCCAGTTGCTGCCGCTTTGCCGTTCTCGAAGAAGCTCTTAGTCTATCCTCGGATCACAAGTCCGTGGCTTGCTCGGAATCAACTCGGTCATGATTGAAGCTTGCCTTAGACATGTAGCAGGCGACTCCTACAAATATCTGACATATGCCCTGATATAAGAGTAAGTTTCTCCACCTCAAGAAGTCATGTTATCTTTCTCATTCATCTGTCCACTATGAAGCCTTCGTCATCAAGTCTCTTGTTTCTGCGGCGACTCCCACCTCGGCTCAGAGGGGTTCGGACTGTGTCATCGTTTGAGCAGTCTCAAGGACATCAAAGGACGACTACAGCTTACTTGCTATTCGGACTTTTACTGGGAGGCGTTTCAGTGTCAGCATTGAAATCGTCAACGTCGGGAGGCAATAACACTATACCGCCGAGATGGATCGAACCACACCGGCACTCACTCTTGCAATCTCAATATGCGGATAAGAAGACAATGATGAAAGTGAGTTTGAGCTCCCAGGCGTATGAATCTCGAGAAGAGTCTAACAAAAAAAAAAACCACAGGCTGTTGATGAAATCCGCCGTGAGCTGGGAGAAGAAACGGTGAGCACCGACCCGGACGACATAGAATATCACGCCTTCTCCGACTTTACAGCGACCAACGCGACCGAAATGCCGATTGCCGTTGTGCGCCCAGAGTCAACCGAGCAAGTCTCGACCATTGCAAAGATCTGCACCAAATACAGAGTCCCAATGACGCCCTTTGGCGCCCGATCCAGCGTCGAAGGCAACTTCAGCTCTCCCTATTCAGGCGTATGCATTGACTTCTGCGAGATGAACAAGATTATCCAGTTCAACCCGCAGGACATGGACGTTGTCGTCGAGGCCGGCGTCAACTGGATGGCGTTGAATGAAGAGATCAAAGACAGCGGCCTCTTCCTGCCGCCTGATCCAGGGCCGGCTGCTTACATCGGCGGCATGGTGGCCACCAACTGCAGCGGCACGAACGCCATGAGATACGGCACAATGAAGGATTACGTCGTCAACTTGACGGTGGTCCTGGCCGATGGCACAATCATCAAGACAAGGCAGCGACCGAGAAAGACGTCGGCAGGATATAATCTCAACTCCTTGTTCACGGGCTCCGAAGGCACTCTCGGTATCGTCACCCAAGCCACGCTCAAGTTGGCGGTGCTGCCGACAAATCTCAGCATCGCCACGGCAGCTTTTGGATCCATCCATGCTGCTGCGGCCGCTGCGAATACAATGGTTCTTGCTGGTCTGCCCTTGACTGCCTTGGAACTGATGGACGAGGCGCAGATGAGGACCATCAACCAGACCGGAGGAACAGCGGGCAAGATGTGGGTTGAAGGCCCAACTCTGTTCTTGAAGTAAGGTTGCAAATTGCATCGAAAAACTCTCGCGGGGTTTTACCACTTTCTTTTGGACGAAGCAATTTGACGTTTTGCATGTTCTGACATACAGTGCCTGAACAGATTCTCTGGCACCAAGAGCTCCGTCAAGGACAGTGCCCAGGCGGCGCAGGCGATATGCCGTCAACACGGCGCCAGCACATTTGACCATGTGTATACGCCAAAAGAGATGGATCAGCTGTGGTCAGCCAGGAAACTGGCCAGTTTAGCCCTGGTCGACGCGAAACCGAAGGACGCCTTGATGTCAGGCACAGATGTCGCCGTACCCATATCCCGCATGGCTGATCTCATAGGTGCGTTGTGCCATTACAAAAACTCCATCTCTGAAGCTTGTCTTACGAGTTTCCTCTCCTAACAATAAGCAGAGGAGTCCAAGGCGAAAGCAACTGGTCTCGGCCTGACCAACTCCGTGCTGGGACATGTGGGAGACGGAAACTTCCATCAGGCACTGTACTTTCGGCCTGATGAGACGGACAAGCTGAAGGACTGCCTTGATACCATGGTTCAGAGGGCAGTCGAGATGGAGGGAACCGTAACAGTAAGCCATATTGCACCGTTTCCTGCGTGCTTTATAGTAGAAACTGACAGACGACGATAGGGCGAGCATGGCATTGGCATTGGGAAGAAGGTATTGAAACAATCTCCCTCTGACATAGTTGTAGAGATCTAATAGACGAGTAGGAAGGTCTTCTCAAGGAGTTGGGCCCGACGACGGTTGGTGTCATGAAGGCCTTGAAGGATACACTTGATCCGCAGTACGTTTATTCGCAAGTATGCTTTCTGTCTTCACCTACTGACACAACGCTATCTAGCTGGCTGTTGAACCCTGGAAAGGTTTTTGACGAGTGATATGGAGGGAATTGTAGTGTGGGAGTTGATCAGCCTGGCTTCTGCTGCTGGACTCCCACTGATCAAGTTACAGGACGGGACTTAGAAATCTCAGTGCGAAATCTCAGTGCGTTTCAATGGTGCTGGACGGCCAGTTCGTCATCTTCGTGTTGCAATATCGCGTTTACGCAGATGCAAACAGATATCTGGGCCAGCTAATAAACGAATCGCCCCCGAGTATTTTCGGGTTCAGATACTTGATTTCTGCCGTACTTCACAATGTCACTGTTTCATTCCTCAATTTACACTATCCTTCACCGTAACCTGCCCCCCTTTCCCCTCAGCTTCTCAACAGTCACCGTGAAAAGGCCGTAGAAAAGCTGATATTGGTTATTGGTAGCAAGAGGCGGCTTGAAAGTCAGGTTCGCCGTTCCTTTGAACAATGTCTTCAAACCAACTCAATGAGGAAGCACCTCCCCTGAAGGGGTATTACATGCGTTCGAATGTTATTCAGGGACCTCATGGGGGACGCCAACATCTACCGGTCAATGGCGCACGTGTTCGTGAGAGAGACATAATCGTTACTGAAGTCTGGCAAGTAGACCCATGCATGCATGTGGACCTTCGACACTGCATAGTAGAGAAATAATGAGTGCCAAATACGGGTTGTTGACGGTCTCCAATGGCCTGCAGTCGTACAAGACCGCCGAGTCAAGTAAAGCACATCCTGAGATCGAGTCCTTGGGCGAATTTCCATATCCCTTGCGCCGAGAAGCCATCATCTATAACCGACTGCCGTACGGAGTAGATAGTAGTTGCATAGTTGTAGAAGGTGAAAGTCTTCCGTAGTGTCGCCCAAGCAATAACGGAGCGGTCAGGGGTCGCAAATCAAGGGTCCAGTTAAATACACATGTCAAGATAACGGTGGTGGTCCCTCCCATCTGTGGGTATGTTAATGCGACCAGATGAGATGTCATTAGCAAGGTGAGCACAAGGCTCACCGGTGATCGACTGCCAATATGACGGCTTCGGCTACTGTCTATCGGATAGAAGTCAGCTTCTGGAAGGCCGAACGGAACCAAAGGAGAGTTCAGCGCTGACGTCGCCGAGCTTTGATCAGCGACGCCTCTTTTGATGCGACACCGATGCGCTCTGGACTCCGTTCCCTGTAATTGCGATCGCCTCCGATGCTGCGGTTGTGGCGTGAGACGCGGCTTTGGGGGGGGAACAAGAAGCAGATGTCGACGGCGCCAACGTGAGCACATTATCGTAGTGCAAACATCAAATGGCAGCGATAGCAAATAACGTGAAAGAAGGGGAGGGCCCCGGCCGCGAGTCCACTGCGTTCTTGGTCAAGTCATTTCCTGACCTCGCGCTTTACTTTCTTTCTGAGAGGAAAAGCCGAGCCGCGAATATGAATAGCGGCATCCCTACACAAAGCCAGGGCGATAAGACGCGCGATGGTAGTGTAGACTTGCATGGAACCTTGATGGCCAAGTAAGCAAGTATGTAATTGAAAGGGAAGAATATGCTATTTGGAGCGCCCGTATGTTTCAAACATCCTCATCCGTAGGGGATATATACGAGCACTTGCTTCATCTGTACATTGTTTGATCCGGAGTCCTCGTATGGAGCGAGCGATCAGCGAAACTTGTTGCCGTTCTGCCAAGCAAGGGCCTCTTGAAGGACAGAGCTTTCAGGTAACAGAGGCGACCGGTGTGTGCGGTGAACCCTGCAGGCAGTGATGAGAGAGGCAACTGATCGTACGGAGCACAATTACAAGTAGTAATAGTATGCAGCTTTGGATATCCCTCGAACTGTACATACTACTCGTACTGTACTGTGGAGGAGCTGTTCGAAGCACATGGTCATACCCAGCAACCCCGTCCAGTTGCGCGAGTAATAATCACAAATGACACTTCCGGACCCATGACGCGAGATGGTCTGCAGTCTGTAGCGAAAGCATCAGTACCGAGGAGCCAGGCTCTCTCCCAACAGGCCCTCCGTGGTTGCACACGAACATGCTTTCCGTTCAAGCAACGCATAGCATGCCCATTTCAGACAGGCGGGATCTCTTTTGGTTCCTTTGCCAACCGTTTCTCGTCCGTTGCCGGGGACAGCACTTGTCCAGATCTCTTGTCAATTTCCGAATTGACGTTGTGTGCAATGAGAAAAGCGTGCTAGCGGCGGTTGTATCCTCCTCTTCGCCGAGCGGGTGGTCGTCGAGTCAGAATGGCGATTCCGTGGCAATGTCAGCAGAGCCACGTTGAAGAGGCATGACGAAAAAGAGAAGAGCAGATGCAGGGGTTTGAGTGACAGCGAACGACAACGTCCACCTGCGCGTTCATGCAGCCCCAGTCTTGGTCCCTGGAAATCCCAAAATAAGCACACCTCTAGCCTCGCGCAAGCTCGCGATACCGTGGATGGTGCGGAGAACTAGGTCTGAAGCGGACGAGGCGCCGCCCACGATCCCTGGGAGCTGCTGGCCGGCGTGGTGGAAGATGGCCGGGCTCGTCGTCATTCATGCTGCTTGTTGTGGCGATGAAGCCAACGCTGGTGGTGGCGGAGGTTGCAGTGCAAGCATCTTCAACAGGTAATGATATTGCTGCTCTCCTGTTCTTGCTCTTCCCCAGGGGCGAGTGTTCGGTCATCACCCCCTAGGCCAGCTTGGCAGAAGGATGGAGAGCGGAGAGAAAGAGAATGTGACAAATGACTCCTTCGCTGCATATCGTCGCGCACATGATGGGATCATAGTTTTGGCCATCACGCTGGTGCGGCGTCGTATGGAGGAGAGTTTGCAGGCCCTCGTTGATTGGTGCGTGATGCAATCGTCATGCCTGGCATAGCGCAATAGGCGCTGTTCCTCGCTGAAGCCTCGACTAATCCCGCCTCCTCCTCGCACACACAAACTGCTGGGCTTCAATTACAATCACAATCTCGCCGCCTCTCCACTGCAAATCAGCAGCCCCCTGCCTGTCGTCTCCGTCACTTTCTCTCCCCCAGATGTGACGCCTGCTGGTGACCGTCCTTCGAAGCGTCTGGACAGGGAGCCCGGCTCTGGGCCCTGAGCTCCTGGGCCTGCGTCTGGCTCGAGCTCTCTCCGGCCCTCCATCTTGGCTACAGGGGGGTGCTGCAGCCGATGGCCAGGAACACAAACGTGGACCCCAGGAAGTTGGTCGTGGAGTCGCTTATGGACCATGGCTGGGCGGGCGGATTGGCGGAGAGCAGCGCTTGATGCTCGTTCGTTGCTCCCAGACGGGCGCGATTCTCTGTGCGGCGATGCTGATGCGAATGCTGATAATCCCAGGTGTTATGGAGTAGCACGGAGTACGACCTGCAGTGACACTGCTGCTGGCTTGTCTGTCTGCGATGCCGGTCTTCTGAGGACGAGGCCGGCCATCCTTCTTTCCTTCTCCCCTCGGGCAGTCTCAACGACCAACTCTCAGTTTCCATCCCGACCAGAGCATCGTCCAGGCGTACCTCTCTTGACTGAGTTCAAAGCTGATATTGCTTTCGATACGCAGTGCAAAAGCTCTTCTCGCCACTGCCTTTCATCACACTATCCTCCCTTGCCGTTCGAAGTCTGATCCAACTTTGGCTCCAAAGAGGCTCGCAGTCATGGCGCCCATAGCAGCAGTGGCGCCTGCTGGCAGTCAATCAGCAACTCTTTCAGCCACCGACAGCCTCTTGAGACGCGGCAAGAGTCTACGGAGAGCATCTACTATGCATCGGCCACGACACCAGCAGCAGCTTCCAACTCAACGGCACGCAGAGGAAGACGAGGATGCCGCAACCTCTTTCCACTCCAACCTTCAGGCGCATCGGCGACGAGGCCGTCAGAGCTACCAAGTTGCGCCGCGGCAGCAGATGCTGCATCTGCCAGACTCACAACGACCCGCATCCTCCCGTAGCCACACGCGAGGCTGGGATCACCAGAGAGCCCGGAGCCGCAGCCCTTCGTACTCCAGAAAGCTGCCGCTACCCGACAACTCGTCGCAGCAGACGCATGCTGAGAGCTGCAGCAGCAGCAGCCTACTGCCGTCATCCGGAAGCATGACGAGCGAGGAATTCGAAGCTCTACCGCCCGCAGTGCAGAGAAAAGTAAGTAGCTGGTCCTTTCTTATCATACGTGTGCTGTGACCGGCGCGTTGCGTTTGATGCTTCTACCAAGTGGTAGAAGGCAACTCTCGAGCTGCGAACGGTAGACCATGACATTCATTTGTTTTCCCTCTCCCTGCTTCGTTATCCGTTGGCTTCACCCTGCATTCCTCACAGACATGTGCTTGCATACGAAGTATGTGATGGCAAGAGACACATGTGTTGGCAAGCGACAAGGCTCGCTAGCTTGTGTCGCAGCCGAGTGCTCAAAGAAGAGCCAGAACAAGGGAAAAAAGGCACCAGAGATCGGATCGACAGGGCCAACAGCACCCATGTGGCCCTCGGAGCACCCAGCAGATTGGGCTTCATCTGTACTATAAAGGCTGGTTTCAGGCTTTGTCTCTGATGGGAGGGATGGAGCTGCCTCTGGATCTATTCTCCTCGCCTTGGCTGTATGACGCCGCCGATGGAACAGCAGGACGAATTTGTTCGAGTTCCGCCAAAAGAAGATGTCTGTCTTGTCTATCTTGTCCGTCTTCCTCACACCTCGCCATCCACCACCACCATCTGGCTGGCCTCCCTCCACTGCTGGGTCACTTTAGCCTGACGACACACGGCGCCATGCAATGCAATGTGCATGCGGCCTCGTCTGGAACTGACTAATTCCGGTGACGAGCCACTGGCGCCGGAACGGCTGAATCCGTCCCTGCATCTCACGAGCCAACTGACACACTAGTTTCGTGTCGCCCCGCGCGAGCGACCTCTTTTGGATGCCATGGCGCTTGTGTGCCGTCTGCGGTGCCCAATGGAATTGCGTCTGGGGGGTTGTCGGGGCCGCTGGGGGAGCAGCTCGAGTTGAGCTTTCGCTGGTTGTCCGGCTCGCTCGAGTGAGTGCCTCTCGGCCCAACGACGACTCTTGGCTGCGTCCGCGATGCCGCCGTCGACACGAGGGCACCACCCATCAATTTCCGTGACTGTGGGGGGAGTCAGTCCACCAATCCGTCGCGCTCTGGCTGTGTCCTGGGCATTGTGCCAGTCGGCGATGAAACCGGACAGGAAGCCTTGTCGAGTGACAACTCTGCTGCTGCATGTTCTGCGTACCTGAAAATTCCTCGATGAGACCCCCCCCTGCAGGGCGAACGCAGAGTTGCGCATACCTCGACCCCTTTCCCTCCCCCATGCCTTTGATCGACTCAAGCCACCCACGCGAACGGGGAGTAGCTCTGCTGCTAGTGGTAGCATCACTTGCCTTTGTCCGTATTCAACCTGGAGCTTCTCCACCGCGTCATGGTTCTTCGTTCCTCAGATGAGACATGCCATCCTCGTTCGAGCTAGAACCGCTATACCTTCAGCCGACTACGGATACGCCTTTGGGTAGTCGCCCTATTAGCTTCCCGATATCACCCAAGAGCATTCGTCTTCATATACATGGCCGGCCGGGTCGCCCCCTTTATCATCTCTCTGTGTGCTCTATTTGATCTCTTCACCCCTTGGCGATATCATTCTGACGTTCTGCTTTGTTGCGTTACAGTACTTCTCGACGCTGGAGCGGCTGCGCTTTGCCCAGTCTACTTGTGCTGGCCACTCGGATCAGTCCCAGGGCGGCTTGAGCCACTCGGCATCGACCCTCGCAAGCGAGGAAGACGTCTGTCTACCAGGATCGCGCTTCGAACTTGGACTCGATAGGTCTACTTCTGGAACACACCACCAACAATCGCGCGCTCGGCCGAAATCAGCTTTCCTATATCCCAGCCAGGTCGACAACACCTACGGACGGCTATTCGACAGCGGAGAGAGACTGTCGAGTACATCCCATTCACACCACAAGAGCATCATACTGGATGCAACCGACGAAGCCTTTGTCAAGATAAACAAGCGACAGTCACAGCTCCCCAAGATAGGCAACTATCTGCATCAACCTGACTCTCCACAGCTCTACACAGCCATGAGCAAGGCGCCTGACCACGGATCTACAAGGTTTCTAACTGCCGATTCTGGGCCGGACTCAGTCATGGAGAGCCTGCGATGGCTTGACGAGAGCGATGACTTGGACCTCCGTCTTTGTCTAGAAGACCACCAATCGAGTCCTAAACCGGGAAAGAAGAAGCGACCGGCTTTTCCTCGCCATCTCTCTATATCGAAGCTTTCTTTCGGACGGCCTTCTTCTCAAATTAGCCGTCCGGCAACCAAAACGATGGCGTCTCCCGCACTGAGCGAGCAATTCGTCATGCCGTCTCTGCCCTCTCCCTCTGGCCACTTCCGTCGGAGGTCAAGGGCCCTGTCTCTGATGTCGCCAAACAAGAGCCAAATGCCTGATGACGCCAGCGCCACTGACGCGGCTCCATCTCATTACCAAGACCCCGAAGCTCGCATGAAGCTCCGTGTATATCTTGCGTCCCCGCACAAATTTGATGAGGCTATTGAGTTTGGATTCCCGTCTCTTTATGATGTGCAAGGGAGGGAATCCGTTCAGCCTCGATCGTGGTCACGCCAAGAGACGCACGACAGGACAACTCAGTCTGCTGGTGATGATGCTGGGTCGCTCATCAGCGATCCCACCTCTCCTGTCGAGACGATTTCGCCAAGGACACCGCAGAGCCCGGAGCACCAGTCTGGAGAGCGCTCGCCACGACTGCACCACGAGGGAAGCTTCTCGAACAAGGTGGATTATGCCCAGGCGCCGGCTTCGTCGCGTGAGATGACGCTGCGGATGACGCTGACACGGCCCGATCTCCGAGCCGACGAGGAGCAAATGTATGGCTGGCAGAAGCCGTCCTCAGCCAAGGCACACGCACATGATGGACTTGCCCAGCCGAGGACGTATGTGAGAGCGGCCAACTCCAAGGACAGCATCAGCATCGAGAGGCAATTCGCCGCTTTTGACGCAGACGATGCTGGTGGGGATAGCAGTGTGGTCAAGCGCATCTGGAACCGAGTCCGCCGTTCATGAGAGGTTCAGCATGGCAACTTGCAACGTTATGCTTGCCATTTCAGCATATAGTATGCATCTCTATATATCCCACTGGATCTTTACTTTTGTTTCTACTTCTCTTACTTGTCTCCTACTTTTTTGCTTTGTCCGTCTCTTTGGCGTTTATTATGAGAACATATATCGGGAGCGAGCCGACCTTGTTCGGCTGTAATCTGCGGAAAAGTCACGACGACACTCAGTTTCATTTTTTTATCTACAATAGCATCAACAGGAAGCGGAATGGTTCTGAAGGGCGTTTTAGGATTGCCATTATCGGCTTGGTATCACTTTTGGACGGAACTCGGATTTTGCCGAGAGAGGGAGGATGTGTTTGGTTGATGAGCGCAATCAGGATGCCGAAGGGGGCTGATATAATAGCATCATTATCATTTGTTGAATCTCGCATAGATGTGTTTCCTCCTTGTTTCTCTGAGTGACCGGTACCTTGTTCTGCGTGAATTCCTCACAGTCTCCCTTTCAGCTATTGTTATGATGATCCATTACGATGATCTTGGTTTTGTGTGTCGTTGCGACACACTGTAGTCTGGACTACTCCGCAAACCACTACTAGTAATTGCAACATGCAAGGAGATGGGAGATGAGCTAAGAATAGAAACGCATACTAACAATCCATGTTATTGTCGCGCAAGCCTGAAGGAAAGCAACCGGAACATGCCGCGGGCCTTTGTTTCGGTGGGGGAAGAAAGGGGGGTTGCGGGAGGGAGGAGTTTGACGTAAGGGGAGGGAGAGAGAGAAGGAGGATGGGGATCGGGGACTTGGGATTGCCTCTTTTTCCGGGCTTGTGGGTTTATACGTTCTGTTTAAACTACTTACTACAAACCTTACCTTGATGTAAAGTTGATCATTTTGTCGTTGGATAAAGGTATACAGGAGGTGGCTGATGAATGGGATATATACTACTGCTGGCTTGTTGCTTTCTTTGGGAGGGATGATTATTATAGACTGTGTATTAAGAGAGAGAGAGCCTTTATAGGGGCCATATAGATAGAAGAAGTGAGTGTATGTGTGTTGGGTGATTTTTGAAACGTCAAAGATGGGCATGGATAGGTAGGTACTACTCGGGGTGAATCGATCTCCCCAAGCCCAGCCTCGTCAGTATGTGAGGACAACATCCCACATAGAGATTCAAACACGTGGGCAATGTAAATATGGCTAATTGAAAGTTAGGACATGACAGCATTGAAGCTATGGTAGCTAATCCAACAGGACACCACAACTTTCTCCTCCAGCAAGGAAGATGTAATATAGACTTTCCCTTCCCCCCCTTCTCTTACCAATCATACACACACAACTACTTCTCATATATTCACACTCCTCGCCCCCTTTGACGATCCTTCTTTTCTCTTTCATTCTCACTTCACTCTCGACAAACGTTTCACACCTCCTCGTCGCTCTCCTCACCGAGTAGCTCCCCTTCATCGTCCACAATGGAATACTCCCCACGCCCACGCGCAAAGCTATCCCGCGTCGTAAACCTCCTCGTCCCCCTCGAGAACCAGCTCCGATCGCTCCTCTGGCCGAATCTTCCGAGGGAGTTGCTCGCCAAGCGGCCCAAGCTGGACAGCATGACCGGCAAAGAGACAACGACCGCCGCGACGGCAGACACCGCGATGATGGGGTACTTGATCCAGGGCTGGTCGCTGTCAAAGGTCGACGAATTCTCGCCCAGCCGGATCTGCCCAATCTTGCCGTTCCAGTTGCGGTACACGTACCAGCCCATGATGCCGGCCAGGACAAACGGGATCACGACGGCGAAGAAGATGACAACGCCGGACGTCCTGTGCTTCCTCTCGAACTCGTCTTCGTGGCCCTTGCACGGGTGCTCTGTCGACGTCTTGTCGAGCTCGTTGCCGCCGCGACACGTTGACAGCGGAACTCTTCGGTAGCCCGTCGGCTCAAAGTACGACGTGGCGTTGGGGTGCTTTTCACACCACTCGTCGCCTGAAAGGGGGGTGAAGCCGTTGACTAGCTTGCACTGCCCGTGGTTGTCCAGCTCAAAGTTAAAGTCGCTACATACCCTTGTGTTAGCGGTGATGATACTCAAAAATGTGTGTGACAGCAAAGCAAAGGATAGATATTCGTCTTACCATTCATAGTCTCGTCGGCTGCAAGGGCAGTCCTCGTGCTCGTAAAGTCGCTGGAGATTCTGCTTGTTGTAACACTGGCGATCATTCTTCTTCCGCAGATACTTGGAGACGTGCCCGAAGAGACAGTCGTCATCCTGCAAGGGGTGCTTGGGAGACCACAGATAATAATCAGAGTCGCCGCTCTTGGTGTGCTCGCAAGGCCTGTCGGCCAAACCAGAAAAGTCCAGGTTCACGGAGAAGAGCCTGCCTCGGCCGGATCGACACCAGAGCAAAAAGTTGCGAGACGTGCCCGATCGCAGGGTCGTAATGTCGAGGACGGCCACGTCCGAGTCGGCAAACTCAAAGTCCTTCCACGTGTTGCCCTCGTCTGTCGAGTATGAGACGTAGCGAGTCTTGACCTGGTTGTTGCGCGTGTACCTCTGTACCAGGACGATGATCGAGCCCTGGTCTCCGTACTGCCACGACCAGCTTCCCTTCTTGACATTCTTCCAGGAGACGCCGCCGTCGGTTGACATGAAGGTGTCCGAGTCCTTAATGTCGCCAAGCTTGGATCCGACGTTGCCGACGCCAAAGATGAGACCAACAGCCGTAGCGGCGGCAAAGGTCTTTCTCTTGTCGTCTCGCTCGGTGTAGTGGTGCAGATGCAGGGCGCACGACTCGTCTCCCTTGGAGCTGCTGCAGGGATAGGCCTTGCCATCCACGTCCTTGGCGGGCGGCGGCAGGAAACCCCATTCGGACCCGTCGTTGTGAGAGATTCTGGTCTGGAGATCCTTTGTCTTCTGCTCCTTGTTTGTGTTTGTCACGACGTTGATCAAGACGACTCCTTCAAGACCCGCAACCTTTTCAAAGTCGACATACGTTTCCTCGTTGCAGTTGACGTTGGACGCGCTGAGAACGTATGACGTGCCGTTGGAATTGCTCTTGATGATGGAGCCATACTCGCGGTCGGCGCCGCCCTCGGTACGGACAAACAGATTGATGGCGTGGGTTGAGCTGTCAAGCAGCGTGTACTCGTTCTCGTGGCCCTCGTGGAAGTTGTACGGGAAGTGAGCCCTCTCAAAGTGCTTGCCGTCCAGACTGGCGAGCGCGTGCATGTCGTCGGTTTCGGGATCCCTGCCGGCCACGACGATGAACTCGTTCATGGTGGCAAAGTTGGTGACGGAATCCTTGAATACGAACTTGTCCTCCTGGAAGAAGTCGTCGCTGGTCATGATGGTCAGCGGCGCATCGCTGTTCTCTTCTTCCCTGGCAAGGCAGACGATTTGCCTCTGCGAGCGGAAGTTGTATGCCGAGTGGCCGGTGAACTCGCACCTCTCGGCGAAGCGAAGCATCGTCTTCCAGTTGTCGCCGCGGTCGAGAGAGATGGATGCCTCGCTAAAACACGTCTCCTTGCCCCCGACTTTGTCGCAGGTCTGGCCGACCCAGATGAGCCAGTCTCTCTTGTCCGGGTGGAAGCTGAGGGGAAATCGATCCTCGGGGTCGGTTGGCGCCTTGAAGCTGTGAAAGCTCTTACCGCGGTCGAGGGAGTAGATGACCTTGTCGCTGCCGGTAGTGAAATAGACCAAGTCCTTGAGATATGCGTGGGGATAGATTCCCTGGATCTTCTCGCCCTCCAAGATGCGCTTGAAGCTCTTGCCGTGGTCACTGGACAACCAAATCTTTTGCTCAATCTTGTATCGGCCGCCCCCTTCGTCTTCGGCGGGCCTGACAATGACGGTTTCGTCGTCAGATGAACTGGAGTCACTCCTGTCGAGGTAGATCTTTTGGAAATCCTGAAGCTTGGTGTCAAAGATGAATTGCTTGCTCGTCACATCGCCGTTTGCCGGCGTGCTCGGGACGGAGGCGTCAGAGCACTTGCGCTCGACCGGATCATCTTTCTGTGCACCCTTGGTCCGCTTGCAGGTATTGCCGGGAATAAGCCTCCAGCCAGAGGAGCCCTTGAAGGTATCGGACTCGCTCTTGCAGGCACCGTCGGGCGCCACCAGCGGCCCGACCTGCTTGCACACTTTGTTGTCGTCTGGATCCCTCCTGAAGTTGTAGTCGCACTCAAAGTCGGCATCGGTGCACTCGCAGTCCTCCGTCTTGGCGACGGGATCCTTGAAGTTGCTGTTGATGAAGCAGTCGGCCGTCTTCTTCCTGCGGCGGAACGTCTGTTTGTGTCCCATGATGCAGGTTGGCTTCCCATCGTCATCCACGCGGGCGAACCAATCCTCAAGGTCATTGTCCCCGCAAGTCCGCTTCTTCAGAGTAGAAAAATCAATGGCAATCGTATAGTAGGCATTTGCCTTCATGCCAATGAGAAGAAACTTGAGACTGGTGGAATCTTGTGTCGTTGTAAGGACGGCTGGTTTGATGGCGAGCTTCTTGGGCAGAGTGACCGTCTCCCACTTCTCGCCATGGTCCAGGGAGTATGCAAACTCGGAAACATCGTCTTCCTTTGAATCTTGAACGGCAACGAGGACCGATCCTTGATCGCCAAACTCGTACTTGTGAGGCCCCTTCAAGGCCTCTTTCCACGTCATGCCGGCATCGTCGGACACGTATAGATTGGCGTCGGCGAACTTGCCGAGCGCCTTGCCCGTGTTGCCATTGCCCATGACAAGCCCCGGTGCCGGACTCGTGAATACCCTTCCCATGTTATCGAGTTCGGTAACCGAGTGGAGGTGGATGCGATCGCCACCGGCCTTGATCTCCTCAAAGGTTCGGCCGTCGTCAAAGGAGATTTGGGTGACGATGTGTTTCTCGGCGCCCTTGGTGTCGACATCGGCGCCGTTCTCTACCACGTTGACGATGAAGATGCCCTGAATACCCTGGACCTTTTCAAAGTCGACGTGCCCCTTGCTGTTGCGGTTGGTGTACGGGACGTTTTCGGTGAAGTATGTGCCGTTGGAGTTGCTTGTGAAGAGAACACCCATGGGGTTGGAGGGCGAGGAGGTCATGACGTCGATCTGAATGCTGTAGTTTGTGCTCTCGAGAACGGTGTAGGCCTCTTGGTTGATCTGGTGCGAGTGGTCGTGGTTGTCGCTGGTCGGGAACATGGCGCGGTGCCACTTGAGAGTGTCGTCGGTCACGTACAGGGCCATCTCGTCGCTCTGGAAGGACGAGGTAGCTACAAGGAGGTAGCTCTTGACGACGGCGATGTTGGCAACGCCACCCACTCCCTTGTTGGTGTCCATGTTGGGTTCGAACTCCTGGACCTCCTTGTTCACCACGGCGAAGAAGTCGTCAGAGATGACGAGTCGCTGGTCTTCGACGAAGAGTGAAAAGGGATCCTTGATGATGCAAAGCACTCTCTTCTGGTCCAGATCCCTATCGCCGGTGGTGAACTCCGGGGACAGCTTCGCCCACCAGCAGCCGGCCGTAAAGGCACGCAGCAAATCGACCGTCTTGAAGTTATTCGTCGTATAGGAAGCTTGCTCGTCGCAGAAGATGCCGTCGCACTCCATGCCGTTGAAGATGACTCGCTTCGGGTCGTCTGCGTGGAACACCATGATCTCGGGCTGGAATCGGCTGGGGACCACCGGGGTCTCGAACTTGGTCCAGGTCTGGCCTCGATCTTCCGACTTGTAGTGCGTCTTGCCCGCGGTCAGGACGTAGGCCATTTCGGAGTCGAAAGGGTGTGTGACGAGCAGAAAGGCATCGCCCTTGGGGATCGCCTCGACCTTGGCCCAATTGGCTCCGGCGTCCTTGGACCGGTATATGATGCCCTCCTCGACATCGTGGAAGACGACGACGTCGCTGTCCTCGAAGTAGGAAAGGCCCAGCGGAGGGTTGTCGAACTTTGTGACGGACAGCTTCGGCTCGTCCTTTGCGAGCGCCAGCACCCACAGCAGCGACAGCAGCAGCAGGTGCCATGACGGCGCCGCAGCCTTGGCTGTGAGCCTCATCATATTGTGGGAGCGGTGCTTGGAGCGGTCATGAAGCTGGACGGCGTGGTCGAGGGGTCGTTGATGTTGGTGGCGTGTAAACAGCTAAGGTAAGGTAGCGGGAGCAGCTGGCCAAGTGGCGCTTGGGCCGTGGGTTGGTGCTGTGTATGCGATGACGAGGTCTGATAAGGTAAGTAAGGTACCTGGGTTGTGATATGGCGATGGAGGTGGAAAGGACCGAGACGCTGCAATCGCTATTCCGCAGCCGTGCGCTCTCTGTCCAGCTGCTGCAATCCGAACAAAGTCCGCTGTGAAGAATCAATGTCGCCTTGGGCCGTTTGCGAAACGTCGTTTGGGCGAGATATTCGTCAGCCTGTGGATGAACGGCCCGGTAGGCTCCAGCTGTGGCGCTGCGCATGTCTGGCCGGGGCTGAGTCGCCACAGTTACTGCGAGGTGAAACCCCCACAGTGCCAGAGGGCCGCGACCGCATTCGCCTGCTGTGGCTTGACCTGGCTTGTCCGGGGAGCTCACGCAAGCTTCAGCCACAGCGGTCATGCAGCGCTGGATGCCACGGGGAGAACTGGGAAAGCTTGTTGACCGCATAAGCTGATGGACGTAAGAGTATCGACATTGACTACCTTATGTGACAAGCGACAATGCAATGCATGATGTACGCATACTGGAAGCAACGGGCACCGTGTCGTGAGGTGCATTTAGCCAGGCTGCGCCAATACAGGCAGCTGGCGAGGTCGACTGAAGAGCTGCATCTGTCCCGGCTGACTGCCTTATCGATACCTATGGGGCGCAACTTGTACCGGTACTCCGGGCATTGTATCGTCGACGAGGCAGCCGGCGGACACCACCCCAACATCCACGCGCCGCCGAGGTCCATGGTGTTTGGGTTTGCGGATGGCATCATGGTGCAAGCGTGTGTTCTTGGACACTTCTGTACAACTGCAGTGAGCACTGAGAGTACAGGTACTTGTACAGCAGTACGTGTGGTCGGGGTGTCAGGTAGATTCACCCCAGATGAAGGCCGTTTGCAGCACGGGGCAAGTGTTTGATGCGTGGACTTACACGGAAGGTAAGGAGACGCAGACTGTGAAGTGGTGAACGCCTCATCACGTCGGCACCCAATTCAGCAGGCCGCACGTATTCATTCGCTACCCGGTCCGCAGAGATGTTACTGCAGTCAGCCGCTTGTACGAATATGGCGGGTGAACCCACACACTGCATATCGGCGATGCAGTTGTTGATGCAACCCAGACTGCGTCCTGCTCCGGCCATTCTCATGCGTACGAGTACATAGACTGTACTTACCAAAACCTGACAGTATGCGGGTGCTCGTGAGTACAAAGGAAAGTAGAAGCTCCAAAACGCGTTTCTCGAGCTTGCAAGGTGAAACACGGGTGGAGCGAAGATCCATCTCCAGGGGTCCGGATGACCAGGTGAGAAGAAGCGCCCAGAGTGACTATCGTGGACTTGTCGTCCGTCTTTGGCTGGGTGTGGTTGACTTGATTCGGCAGAAAGCATGACCATCATCGAGTGCGATACTGGCCACTCTGCATTTAGACGGGCATATGAAGAGACCTTGCCGGCGTCAAGTACGCGTGGGTGTAAGCATCAATAAAAGCACTGCGCCCAGGCTTGTGATAACCATGGCCTAGCGGCTCGGTCTGCAGGGCAAACATGCAATAAACTCGGTCGCAAAATCAAATTCTGCTCAACGGGAGTAGGCGAGTCGTCTGTTTGCCAGCCATCAAGCCCATGTCGCCCGGGAGGCTCCGTGCCAACCTCGTCTATTGCTCCAGGTCCAACGATGGGGCTCGCATTTGATCTCCGTCGCGTGGAAGAAGCAATAAAACGATGGGGTTGCAGACGTGGTAGCGGAAGAAGCTTGTCGACCCTGTGATGTCGCCAACCAGATGAATTTCCATCCAGTGTTTGATGTCGGTCTCTGATGCATCGATGCAGTCCAGTCCGGGGGAGCTGGCGAGGTCAGCCAATGCCCGTCAACACGCGCTGGCCTCTGCGTACGAGTACTAGGTAAGCTCCAAGTACCGCCAGGTACCTGCATGGACCTGCCTGCCCCTCCATTCAACCCGCGCTGCTGCCCCTCGCTTTGGCTGCGCGTCAACCGCGCCGTGACCACGTCTGGGCCGGCAGATTCACCAATGGGATGGCGAGTCGGGTCAAGTATGTACAGATGCGTACCTGCGTGCACCATCTCGATACAGTGCCTGGATGTGTGTACACGCAGATTCTACCGGTACCTCCACAGACTTGGACTCGAGAGTTGCATTTGCATGCGCGTTGTTGGACCAAACGCAGGATTTAGAATGGCTCAGACGGAACAAGATCAGGATACGCGCGAGTACAAGCACGTCCAGGCACATGGGGTTCGAGATAAAAGCACCAGGCCCGGAAGCACTAGCCTCGTCCGGGCAAGGTCCATCTCACTTGGACTGCATCTCTGCATCTCTGCAGGTGCAGGTACAGGTACGGGTACAGGTAAGGTACTCCTTGCATGGCTTCTGCAAGGACGATATCAATTGTAAGGATAGAATCACGCAGCATCGAGACCACATTGTAAGCAATAGCAAGCCCGTAGGGACAGGTACTGATTCACGCAGTCACCCTCAACTACACCAGCCAGTAACACCGCCGCGCCCGTCCCGGCAACTGCTCTGGGAGGCCCCTTGTCTCGCTGCCGCAGGATCGCGGTCGCCTTGCGTCCTTTCATTTCAATCTACCTGCTACCGCCGGCTCTCCAGGGCCCGTCGCCCTAGAGCCCGACAAGCAACAGCGCTGCACCGGGGCGCGCCTCACTGAAGAGGTCCCCTACTCGAGTCTAGTCCAGCGCTATCCTCGTCGCGGCAGGCTAAGGGAAACCCCCGCCAAACCCAAGCTTACCTTAGGTTGTTTTGATTCGAATCGGTCTGGTCCATCTGCAGATGCCAACTCGGCCAGTTACTACTTGTACCCTGCCTGTCCCCTACCTTTTGCTTGCGAGAGCCTCGTTCCCTCTTCGTTTCTCTCTCTCTCTTTGACAGCCAGATTCTTACTTGTCCTTCCTTCGCTCGTTTGCATCCTTTGCGCTACCCGCACGCAGCGTCTCTGTCGCGAGCGATCCGAACCTCATCTCAGCGCCTCCGCCTTGCATCTGCGCGCCACCACCGCCCATATATCGCCTCGATAGACCGCTCGCAGCTCCTCTCGACATCTCCTAGCTCTCCTTCGCGTCGTTCGCGCCGTTCGCACCATGGCGGCCACGTACAAGCAGTTCCTGGCGTCTCCCAGCTCGTCGCTGCTGGCGGACAAGGCCTCGCTGCACTATGTCACCACCTTGACGTCCTTTGTCGGCGCCACCGAGATCATCAAGCACCTCAACACCCTGCAGAAGCAGGTCAAGAAGAAGAAGGAAGACGTGATCAACCTGATCGATGGCCAGAGCACCATCGCCGTCGAGGTCGACACCTGCCTCGAGTTCGTCACCAGCGGCGGCGCATACCTGCCTGGTCTTGACGACAACTTCATCACCGATCGAGAGGCCTTTTTGCCCATTGTGAGTTGCCCAACCCGAATTTCCCACTGTCGCGCTTTGTCTGGCTGCTCTTTGCCGTTACCAACATGCGACTCCCGATCGCATGGCTGACTCAATTGCTGTTTGCGCAATCCACAGATGCACATCGTGTCCTTTGATGACGACGGCAAAATCGTCCAGATCCGCCAGCAGTGGGACCAAGGCTCGCTTCTCAAGCAGATGGAGGTCATTGGCAAGAGTGGCCGCAACTGGCCCATCAAGGACGGCAAGGAGCAGCTGAGCCTGATCCAGTCCTGTGTCAAGTCGCCCGGCGTCGTCGCCGCCCAGGCGCAGGCTGAGCCTCAAAACGGCAACGGCCACAACACCAAGTCGCGAAACAGCTCGACCAACATCATGCGAGACCCGCATGCGTCCCTGCACCTCTTTGGTTCGCGCGAGGAGAAGGAGAACTCGGAGCCTGTAGGCGTCGTCTCTCCCTATGCCGGCTCCAAGCCCAAGCAGCGCGCCTTTACCGACATTTTGGCCGACGAACCCCAGCACTGGGATGACAACACGAGGCGCTCCATGTCCCCCCACAAGGCCAACGCCGGCAAGAACGTCCAGCCCATTCGCATCTTCGAGGGACAGCAGCACCCCGAGGATGATTCCGACGATGGGGAGAAGCCCCAGAAGTACATCCGCGCCCACCCGGCCAAATACCAGCACTTTGCTCTGGGCGACGGGTCCGAAGAGAGCGAGGATGCCCAGCCCGCCCCGGCACAGCAGCAGCAGCCCCGTGCTCCGAGACCCAAGTCTAAGCACGACAGCACGTGGTCCTTCGACGACTTCACCACCCCTGTCAAGGCCAAGCCCGGCCGTGGACAAGGAACCAACCCTGACGCGCGTAACTGGGATGCAGGCGAGATGCAGGCGGAGACTGTCAAGGCCCCGGCTGGCAAGCCGCGACGCGATGCTGAGACCCATTTCGAGTTGCAGGACGACGGCGAGCTGCCCCCAGGAGAGCGACGCATTGCCATCCGGACGCGGAGTGCCGTGCACAACGAGAGCCAGAGCATCTACAAGAACAACCTCTTTGAGCGAGAGCCCGAGGAGGCGCCCAATGCCGGCCGAGCCCTGGGCAACATCACCAATGTAAGCAAGGACCGCGGCAAGGACTTTGACCCCCACTTCACCATGACGGACGACTCGCCCGCTCCCGGTCCGGAGCGCCAGCCTGTGCCCGAAGGCCGGCAAAAGGCCGTGACGACCATGCTTGCGAACTGGACTCTTGCTGACGAATCGCCCGCCGCGCAGAAGGAAAACCGAGCAGCGCAGCAGCCCGCCAAGGTGCCGCAGCCCGACACCAAGATCCACATTGCCGGCGACGGCATGGGAGGCAAGAAGGGTGCCCAGAGGGACTTTTTGTACGGGGGCGACGACGCCGTCGAGCCGCACAAGCCGCTCATTGCCAGGAAAGCGACCCACGGCACGCAGAAGAGCAGCTTCTGGGACATGTAGACACAACGCATCAGCCGATGCCTCTATCTACCTGCCTTGTGGACAGGATGGTCGTCTTGGAGAGGGGGTTGTGGTTTCCTTAGGGGCAGGTGTGGTGTATGTGTGTGTGTGTCGTACGAAACGGAACAAGAGAGGGAAAAAACAAAAAGAACAACAACAACAACAACAACAACAACAACACAAAAAGAGTTTGCGATACCCTTGGGCGCTTTTAGTATGTATGATTTTTAATGCCCCCTGCAGGAGCGCAACTTTTACGAATGATGAGTCCCCCCTGTCCTCCCATTTCTTGTTTTATATACATTACTTCTTCTTTACGTTTTTTTACACTTGTTGTTTTTAAACCCGTCGTTTCTGGCTGCGAGGGGTCGGATTCAGTGTATACGAAGGAGATTTTTTGCTTCCAATGAATAGCTGGTTTGAGTCTTTTAGCACGTTTGCATTGTTTTTCTTTTTCCCATGACTTGCGATGAATCAAAACGCCCGCTAGATAAGAGTGTGATCGGATAATACAGCTTTCGTTACAATATAGGCAGTGGCATCTTCCCAAACTAAATGCCAATTATATTTCCAAAGAAGAAGAAGAGGAGGAAGAAGACGAAGAAGAACCCCCCTGATGGCAAACTCCTCTCGAGACCCAAACTACGCCCAGATGAAAACGGCCCCCCAAACAAAAAAAAAAAAAAAGGGGGGG